ATTGATTGAGTGAGTGAGTGAGTGATAAGTGAGTGAGTGAGTGGTGAGAGACAGAGAGAGAGAGAGAGAGAGAGAGAGAGAGAGAGAGAGAGAGAGAGAGAGAGAGAGAGAGAGAGAGAGAGAGATTGGACGAGAGAGTGTGATTGATAGTGGATTATTGATGAAGTGAGTGAGTGATAAGTGAGTGAGTGAGTGAGTGATAAATGAGGGAGTGGTGGTGAAGTGAGAGAGAGAGAGAGAAAAGAGCGAGAGAGAGAGAGAGAGAGAGAGAGAGAGAGTGGATGAGTGAGTGTGATTGAGAGAGAATTATTGATTGAGTGAGTGATAAGTGAGTGGTGATGGAGTGAGAGATAGATAGAGAGTGATAGAGAAAAAGAAAAGAGAGAGTGTGGTTGAGAGTGAATTATTGATTGAGTGAGTGAGTGAGTGGTAAGTGAGTGAGTGGTGAGGGAGTGTGTGAGAGAGAGATTGGATGAGAGAGTGTGTTTGAGAGTGGATTATTGAGTGAGTGAGTGGTGAGGGAGTGAGTGAGAGAGAGAGAAAAAGAAAAGAGAGAGAGAGAAAAAGAAAAGAGAGAGAGAGGAAAAGACAAGAGAGAGAGAGAGAGAGAGAGAGAGTGAGAGTGAATTATTGATTAATTAAGTGAGTGAGTGAGAGAGATATAGTGGACGAGAGAGTGTGATTGAGAGAGAATTATTGACTGATTGAGTGAGTGAGTAATAAGTGAGTGGTGATGGAGTGAGAGAGATAGATAGATAGATAGAGAGAGAGAGAGAGAGAGTGATAGAGAAAAAAAGAGATAGTGGACGAGAGAGTGTGATTGAGAGAGAATTATTGACTGATTGAGTGAGTGAGTAATAAGTGAGTGGTGATGGAGTGAGAGAGAGAGAGAGAGAGAGAGAGAGAGAGAGATAGAGAAAAAAAGAGATAGTGGACGAGAGAGTGTGATTGAGAATGAATTATTGATTGATTGATTGAGTGAGTGATAAGTGAGTGAGTGAGTGAGTGAGAGAGAGAGAGAGAGAGAGAGAGAGAGAGAGAGAGAGAGATTGGACGAGAGAGTGTGATTGAGAGTGGATTATTGAGGGAGTGAGTGAGTGATAAGGGAGTGAGAGGGAGAGTGATAGAGAAAAAATAAGAGAGAGAGAGAGGGATTAAGACTGAATTATTGATTGAGTGAATGAGTGATGAGTGAGTGAGTGAGTGAGAGAGAGAGAGAGAGAGAGAGAGAGAATTTGTGTGGTGTGTATGTGTGTGCGTGTGCGTGTGCGTGTGTGTGTGTGAGAGAGAGAGTGAAGAAGGAGAGGAAAGAAAGAGAGAGTGAGTGAGTGAGAGGAATAGCCATACAAAAAAGTAAGAGCAGCTTAGACTAATCGAATTTTCGAAAATTTCTTTTGTTCCCTCACCACCGTTCATTCCTAAAAAAGATTTGAGTCTACATTTTTCTTGTTTTAAGTATAGTATACCTATTGCTTAAAATGAGAGAAAAAGAAAAAGTACCAGTGAAGAAAATGTTAAATAAATTTTTAAAAATCTAATTTTTTTAAAAATTTTGAGTTTAACGTTTTGGGTTGGTTTGTTTTTATATATTTCTTTACAAATGTATATTTTCTAACATCCTCCTTAATTCGAATTTTTCAGTAATCCCCTCCAGCAATTAGTCGAAGGATTACTGAGAGAGCACTGTATTTGTAAACGCCTTTTATTCCCATTGAAGGTTCTTAAATAACTCGCGTATTCTTTCATTCACAAGAGATAATTTCGAGTAATTTAAGAAAAATAAAATACATTAAAATAAATCTGGGTTTGGTAAAAGGATTTCCTCAAAAGGTAATCCTCAAAAACATGGAAAAGAGAGGGGAAAAAATAAAAGTGCTAACAGATAATAGAAAAAATCAAACAAATACAACATTGATATAAATAACACAGTGGAATTCGTTTGCACAATAAACTAAAAATTAATAAAACAATAAGTTGCTTGAACTTAAATTTAACAAAATTCTCTCCGTTTCGGTGAAATGCATAGAAAATTATTACTTTTATTCAGAAAACCTTCGTGAAAAACTCAGAACTAACTTGATTAGTTGGAAAAGTTGAAAAGTACAACTTCCAATATTTCTTTTCAAACATATTTACATAAAAATTGAAAAATCATAATTAAAAATAAACAGATAATTAATCGAAAATATTACAACTGTAGAAAAATCTCGAAATGAGGATAAATTAATTTTCGTCGAAATAACATCATCAAACTCACGCTGCATTTACACATCGTGCTCTAAATTTAACTATACTTTGTTCATTTAAATTAAATTAAGAGTAATCAAATAAAAAGTGCAAAATCTCTTTTGGAAGAATCAACTAATTTAGTATTTTCTGATATCAAATGGTGGAGCCATCCGAATTTGATATTATTGAAATTTTAATTTCTGTTTTCCTGGATTTTCCTTTCTAGAAAGCCCAAAAATAAACAGAAGTTAAAATACAGACGAGCAAAGAAATATAGCTCAATTTTCGGCATAAATTAAATATGTATAAATACATATATACAAAAATATTTTGTATAATAAATAAACAAGATATCAAAATTTTAATTTTTCCAACGAAGTGAGAAAGCAAATAATTTTGCTTAAACAGCAGTTAGGAATTTAGTTAGGAAATATGGCACTCGTCGAAAAATTACAGGAGGACCTTGGATGAGTTTGTATGTTGCCTTTACTGAAAGTCAAATATATATCAGCGTAATTCCACACAGAAAACATTATTTTCTAAATCTAATTATGTATAACGCAAATTATTTAAAATTTAGTCCGATTCCTCGACTCACGGAAACGAATAATCAACTTCCTTTAAATTGTGTCACTTTTTACCTTTCCTTAAGTCGATTTAAACATTTTTTTTTTTTTAATATTGATCATGGCAATTGCGAATGATTTGTTTACGTATTTCTGTTGTTTCCATTAAATTTTTATCATTCTATCTCACTTTCCTTTATATTTGTTTATATATTTGTTATTTAATTACATTTTTATTATTTCTTCTGAATTTCCTTTATATTTGTTTGTATATTTCTGTTGTTTAATTATAGTTTTATTATTATTTCTCACTTTCCTTTATATTTGTTTATATATTTATGTGTTTAATTATATTTTTATTTTTACTTCTCACTTTCTTTTATATTTGTTTGTATATTTCTGTTGTATAATTATAGTTTTATAATTTCTTTTTCACTTTCCTTTATATTTGTTTGTATATTTTTGTTGTTTAATTGTAGTTTTATTATTACTTCTTACTTTCCTTTATATTTGTTTGTATATTTCTGTTATTTAATTAGATTTTTATTATTTCTTCTTACTTTCCTTTATATTTGTTTGTATATTTCTGTTGTTTAACTGCATTTTTATCGTTCCTTCATACTTTCCTTTATATTTGTTTGTATATTTCTGTTGTTTAATTAATTTTTATTATTTCTTCTTACTTTCCTTTATATTTGTTTATATATTTATGTTGTTTAACTATATTTTTATCGTTCCTTCACACTTTCCATTATATTTGTTTGTATATTTCTGTTGTTTTATTAAATTTTTATCATTCCTTCTCACTTCTTTATATTTTTTTGTGTTTAATATGTCCATAGTTTTAATTATAGTTATATGTATATTATTAATCATGTTTCATTTATTCATTATTAATTATTTATATTTTAAATTCTTATAGAACTTGTGAGTAAAGTTAACAGTATAAATAAATAATTAAATAATATTATCGTTTATATTTCTCATCAAATAACATAAATAATAATTGAATAAATCGACCTGGATGGTTTTTGATCGAGTAAAACCCCTTTACACAGCATATACTATATTATATTAATTTAAGTATTGTGTATGTATAATCTATGTACAATACTGTCTTAATTCATTCAGTGTAAATCAGGAATTTAAAAAATGGTAAAAACAAACAAGTTAGTATTAGAAATATAGCAAACCATTTTTATATATGGGGAATATATATTAAATTCTTTTAAACGGTACAGAAACACTGGGAATCGACAATAGATTTTGCGGTTTAAACACACAAATGTACGCAAACAGGACTTTCCAGTGAATATCGTGTATTTATTCGACAAAACAAAACACAAAGGCTTTAATGCTTTTAAAGCAAAAATTAACACTAAAAAAATTAACAAAAAAAAAAAAAAAATTACGGTACACATGCATTCAGCTCGAAATGAACGGAAAAGACGGAATTGGGACCGTAATATAGGGAACGTTGGGACGCGGCCAAGCCGGCACCGCCATCTTACCGGCTGAACCATCAAACCGAACCATACGTGCTGGTTTTACATTTTATATAATTTTGCTGTTTTGGGCCATTTTTAATATATGGATTTATTGAAAAATATATTTTTGAATATGTATGTTTTTTTAGGACATTTTCGAGGGAATTTTTTCCGTGTATTTCTTGGAGTTTAAAAAAAAAATTTAATTTAATTTTTAATTTTATGTGCAATTGTTTTAATTTAGTTTTGTTTATAATGAAATTATTTTTCTGTTTACCACAGAAGGGTTTTTATTATATTTCGGGTATTTAATTTTTGTTGTTTTGTTTTACAAAAAGCTTTTAAACAATAATCACTATTAATTCATCCTTTGTAAACAATTTCTCCTGATCATATGGTTTAATTAAAAATTAAAAGAGATTTTTTAAAAAGGTTAAAACAGTTTAAAAAGTGTAATTTCTATCGTGTAAAAATATCGAAAGATGTTGAATTGACTCTCAAAAATCCATACGAGTGCCGTTTGTTTTGACGAGCGCTGTACCTCGCCGTGCCGGCCGGCTTTTCGCCTTTTACAACGAAATAAAACACGCTGGAGTCCAGGTTTGATTTTTAAACGAAGGAAAAACGCATTTTAAGGCTTTTAAAAGAATAAAACGGACTTTAAAGTGTTTTTTAGACCGGTGAAAAGATTAAAACTGTGCTCGACTTGCCGTGCGCGCATGCGCCCCTGTTGACACGCAAGCCCCGGCGAACGGGTCGTCGTCAGAATCTCTCCCTCTTCACTAGGAGAAACAACCAACTTGGTTCCATTGAATTTTAAGGTAACTATTACAACACAATCTCAGAAAAGCTTTTAAAAAAAGCATTCTCTCTAGGGCAATAATACACCCAAACTAATTTCTATAAATATACACATAGTTTTTACGTTTTATTTTTAATTTTACGTTTTTACTATTAACAATTTTTTACGTTTATATTTTTAAAAAACGGGTTTTCGGTTTTATTGTAAATTGGAATAAAAAAAAGGCTCAAGTTGAGTGTAAGGTCCAACATGGCTGCTTGGGTGCGGTCTAACCTCGCGTCCGTAGCGTTTGTACCTTGCGTGCCGACGCCGTACGCCATGTTGGACGCCAGGCACGCATGTCCGCTACGGCCACGTCATTTTCATCAAGTTCAACGTTTTTCCAATACGCAATTGACAATTTTAATTTTTAACTGGAATTCCCGTTGATAATTTACCGTAAAATAATGGTCCCGTTGTTTTTTTTTCCAATTCCTTAACGTTCGTACGTATTATATTGTATGTTTTATGTATAATTGAAAGATATTAATTGGTCAAGGGGACCACGAAACTAGGGAATTAAATTGTAAGTCTCTTTATTGTGTATTAATAAATTAAATAAAAATAAAGGAAATTCAAAATAGGAAGTCTGTTGATGTAAACTTTAAAGCATAAATAGATATTATTCTGTTGATTTAAGAATAAACAGCTTTTAAAGCCAACTGTTGATTGGCCTTAAAAGTTCAATTTAAGTGTTTTTACTTTTTCGATCATCCATTTAATTTTTAAAAATATAAAAACGACGGTTTTTCATTTATTTATTTTTTTAACGGAGAAGCATGATCTTAAGTGAGTTTTAAAGGTTTTTATAACCTTTAAAAATAAAATTCTGGTCGACACAAATTATTACTAGCCTTAAAATACTAACTGTTAATATCAGTCGATTTTCTTTAATAATTATGTAGTAAACCTAAAAGTAAAATTCAGAGCTTGTATATTTTCACAAGTAACTAGTTTTAAATGTTTATGTTAACGAAACCCGCATAAGTCAGAATTTAAAATAATTAGTATTAGTAAGAATCTTTGTTTTAAGTGTACAGTTTCCCCTCTGAATTTGATTTTAACGAATTTTTCTTCTTTTTGTTTCAGACTGTTATATTTTTAAAAAGATAGTTATTATGAGTGAACATTTTTGCCTGAGGTGGAATAACCACCAGAGTACGCTTGTCTCGGTCTTCGAGCACCTTCTGGAATCGGAAACACTTATAGACTGTACCTTGTGCGCAGAAGGACAACTTCTTAAAGCACACAAAGTTGTCCTGTCGGCCTGCAGCCCATGCTTTGAGGTGAGCCTCTTAAAAGACATTTTTGTTTTATTAAAACACTGGCATGAATTATGACAATGTCCTTTTTATAAATAACTAGTCCATGTCAATGTGGATTGTTTCGTACAAATTGTAAAAATAATTGTCAGCGAAAACTGTTTTTTAATATTTTTTTGCTTGTGTAATTTGACTAATGGGGTGTTTCTTTTTTTTTCAGTCGATGTTGTGTGTGCAGGAGGATAAACACCCTATTATCTTCTTGAAAGATGTAAAATTTATAGAACTCAAAGCAATGTTAGATTATATGTACAGAGGAGAAGTAAATATCCACCAGGACCATTTAGCATCATTCATAAGCACTGCGACAGCACTTCAAATAAAAGGTTTAGCAGATAAAGGTGGAGGGGGAGGGACAGGAGATGAACCTCCTGCCAAGAAAGGGCCCGGGCGAAAAACTGGAATGTCCGACGTCGCACCGGAGAGCCCACTAGTCGGAAATGCACCGCTCAGGGAAGGCTCGATCTCTCCTTCAACGAGAAGAAGGAGGAGGCCGAGAAGACCTTCGACTGACGATGTCTCCGCAGATAACTCTTGTGATATCCCGGCCTTACCGGCCACACCTCTCCCGACCCCCGCCGCTCCCCCGCAAGCGACCCAGGCTGACATACGGACTTCCACACCCGGCGAACCTAGGCTTCTTACCGTCAAGAAACAGGAACCGATGGACACACCAATGATTCAACCCAAGACTGAGTATATGGAAGAAACGAACGAAGATATCGAGGACCTGACACTTGACGATGATGACGACTACAATGATATGTCTGATATGTCTAAACCTGGAACGTCTTACGGAATGGCACAAGGAGGATCTTCTAGTCAACGTAAGTTTCTCATCCACGTAAATTTTCAACTCAATAAAAAGTAATGCTTGTACAAGTTCTCAAAATTAAATATGATTTTTATTTTTCCAGCTGATTTTTCGAATTGGCAAATGATGGGAGGCGATCGAACCGGACAGGATGAGGTTTTTATGGCTGCGACAGAAGCGATAAATAATCAATCAAACCCACAAGGTAGGCATGCGATTTTCTTGCCATTCTTATTAGACAATAAGTAAATCAACCGTGATGTTGCAAAATGGTCTTTTTTCAAGCGTTCAAGTAAATTCTTTTAATTTAATCGTTTAATTTTATTTTTACTTCTTTATTACTTTCTTGTTAGCTTTTCCAATGGCTTATATAAAAATATGTTGTGTCAGTTTGGCTTTTTGTCTTTGGTGGTATGAATTTGAAGAAATGGTCCGTCTGTTCACTCGGAATCCTGTGTCTCAGCTTCGTACCATCATTTGGGCTTGAGTCATACTCACATATAAGTCATTTACACTTTAACACATACTATCTTCTCCCACCACCCTTCTATTTTTATTTATCCAAACTGTATTCACATCCCAAATTTATTTTGCACGCGGTTGAACCTTTGCAACATCACAAATGAAGTAATTAAGCTTGTTGAATTATGAACTTCCACATTCATTATATTTTAAATTTAATTTTAAAAAAAGCCGCAGGTAAATCAAATGTGAAAGTTCAAACCTAGTTTTAAAGATATATATGTTTTTAAAGGTAACGCCAAGCGTGAAAGCGTTTGTGCGCAGCCTATATTTTATGTTATGTATGTATGGTAAAGGTAATAATTTGGATCCCCAAAAATTTAAAGTGAGTATAAAAATTATTATATTTATTCATTTATATTTTTTCAAAAAGCTGATTTTCAGTTCTTTTTCAAGAGTTATTCTCTTTTCTAAGAATTACAATTAATACAAATGGTTAAAATGTCTGAAAGTTAGCTTTTACATGTGGATTTATTTTTTGTATTTGTCATGTCAAATTTGTTTGGTTTGTCTTGATGATGGTTATGATGGTAAAGATAGAAATGCCGGACATTTCTCAGTATTTATTTTTGTATCTGGATGGGTGGGACAAAATAATAAATTAGAGTCAGTGCAAAGTGAAATGGAAAAGAAGAAAAAAAAAAGTAGGAAGGACGTGAGTATAATGGTACAATCATTTTACATGAAAAGAGAAAAAAAGGATCCGACGTAAAGCCCGGTAGGGCATTTCTTTTCGGAATTTTGTACTTTTCAATAAAAAGATTTAGATTGTGTTTTTTATTACCTGAAAAAAGCACGTTTACGTGCTCAATAAGCTGAGAAGCAGTAATGAGGTAAGTGATAATTTAAAATAGTATATAAACTAATTTGTAATTAATTTTTCTCATTTAAAAAAAAATCTTTCCGGTATCAATTTAAATTTTTAAATGACTGGTTGATAAAAAAAAATCAGTTAAGGTAAAACTATTATTAGATTTTTCTTTTCTGGTCTTTGTTTACTAATTAAATAACTTGGACCTGGCTAAAATTTAAATTTTTAAATGGCTGGTTGATAAAAAAAATCTGTTAAGGTTGAAGTATTAGATTTTTCTTGTCTTAGTTTACTAAATTCCTTTTACTGCTAAAAAATTGTTCAGTCTGGAATGAGCAATGTTAATAGAAATGAGTATTATGGTTATATATCGTAGTTGAGAATAGGAAAGTTGAGATACAAAATCTTGGATATTCATGTTTTGTGTGATCCTCAATATTTTGATGGTATACGGTTATTCAACCTTATGCAAATTCATAAGTTTGTGGGAATTTGCTTCATTGGCCAAAAATTTTGTAATAGGCGATTGGTATATGAAACATGTAAAATCAGTTAGTTCCTGTTGTTTAAGAGTTCAGAGTAAGTGACGCGTGCCTGTTATTTAAGAGTTCAGAGTAAGTGACGCTTAAGCTAGTAATAATTGCTTGATAGGAAAGTAATTCTCCCTCCATAAACAAAAAAATCCCCTACAATGTGGGGTATGAAGCAACCTGGCACACCAGAAAACTAGTAATTATGTTTTGGTCTGATTGACTTGCTACAAGTTTGGCATGTCAGAACTGGTTGTTCGACAGTTTCCAAACTGGGGGAATGGCGTCCTAAATAGATCTGGAATTAATGCCCAGATGTTTATACTGCCAAGCCGATTCTGTTTTATCGACCACTGTTAACCAAGTCTAATATGTGACTAAAAATGGTAAAAGCGTAAGGTGCTTTCTACATGGTTCTTTTTGTCGATTTATAGTATGAATCCCTTTGCCAACTCCCCCACAGAATAGCTCAGGTTTTGGTGCAGTTCAGCCCAAAATTGGAGCCAAAGAAGTTTGAGCCAAGTGCTTTGACTTTTTAACAAGAATCTAGTGTGATTCCCCCCAGAGAGCTGTTTTTGGTGCGGTTCAGCCCAAAATTGGAGCTAATGATGTCTGAGCTTGGTGCTTTGACGCTTGTTTGACTTGGCATCCTTCCTTTTGTACCTTAGTTCAAATCGAATTGATTTCATCCTGGAAGGTTGAGTGCATTTTCCTATGGGCCATTTGGTTCCAGTGCTTTTGCACCTACCTACGTATAAAGTATCATACTTGTTACTCAAAACTATTCAATCTACCTGAATTGACCAGATCTACATAACCTTGAAACATAGCTATGGAGTTTTTATAATTGTTTTTCGGCGATTTATATTTTCTAATAAATTTATCTGATTTTTTTGGCATGCTCTGGTAGTCCAACGCCACAATGTGTTGTTCGTCAAAGAGGTCTTCAGGCTTTTTGAGGATAATGAGCATACCATATCTAATTGCAAATTTTGCATCGCAATGAAGGCAAAAATGGTTGTAGTTTTGTGTCCCAATACTGATAGTTTAATATTAAGTTAATTTGAGGAAACTGCACACCATGCCCAATATCGGCTTGTGATGGCTAAAGGGTTATGCAAATTTGACTGGTTTTTAGACATATCGGATGCCAAACCTTGGTTAGAACTATAAATTAACTTTAATTGTTTGGATTAGTGTTGGTTTAAGAAGTAATGGTTTGATTTCCCTCTAGTAATGTAACTGCCATTGTGCTGTTGAGTATGCAGTGCATCCAAAATAATGATTGTCTCAGTTTTGAAAAGTTGTAAAACGTAGCTGGCTAGGATCCAAACCAAAAGCTGCTCTGGGAAATTGGTACTGATGTGGTTTTTCATACAACTGTAGATTGCCATGCAAAGTAACGGATTTATCTGAAAGAACGCTTGAATATCCAAAAAATATGTTTGTCATTAAATGCCATAACACCAATCATCAAATAATTATTTTGATAAATTCACTAATTTCGTGGTCTGCTTGACCAATTAATATATTACAATTAATTGAGGTTTTTAGTTGAGATAAAAAAGTCGATGGCACGAGCGGGATTCGAACCCACGAGATGGGGTTGAGATAGGAGGTCGGTGTCAGAGTGGATCGAAGTGACGATAGCTCAAGTGGTAGAGCAGCGGCGTATCTAGCCGAAGATCGAGGGTTCGAATCCCGCTCGTGCCATTGACCTTTTTATCTCATCTAAAAACCTTAATTAATTGTATTATTTTGATATTTGAACTGGATGCCTATTGAGTGATTGTTTTAAATAGGAGACATTCATCCAAATCCTCTTTTTGTATTGCTTTTGAAGTGCACTGGTTTGAGGAAAAAATTGTATTCAGGGTTCTTAAAACAGAACAAGAATTTTTTTGTATTGTTTGATGGTAAGGCAAGTTTTTTGCAATATGGTTTTAAGATCTGTCCTATTTCTATTGATTTCTTCTGTAGTGGACATCTGAAAAAGGCCATGAAATAATGAAAAATTATATTATTAAAAGTTGCCAAGTTTATTTAAAAAGAAAAAAATAATATAAAGAGATAGCAATTTAGGAGGATCTTCTTAGTTGTTGACAGTCAGTTTTTTTTAATAGATAATTTGACTTTTTAAAAAATCACACTTCATCTTCAGAATCTGTGTACACTTGGTAGTACCGCAGCCTCCTGTTCCTCAAGATTTCCCGAGTGAAAATTTTGATTTTCTTACACGTACGCATTTTTCTCTTGATCCTGTCTTTTCTAGCTGCAAATTTTTAAAACAGGCAGTGACGGTTAAACGTGTAGTATAAAACATTTACCTTTTGGATCAGTTCTTCCCAGTCCGGAGCACCTGTTGTAGTTGTCTATTACATAGATGCAAATAATTATTAAGATAATGGATTACTTTGATTGGAAATTTGAAGAGAAAGAAATTATACCTCTTGGATCACATAGGCTGCTTTCCAGAAAAATGTCTAAAATAAAATAAAATCGTATTTATACACATGTAAAACAACTATGCAGACTTAACAAATCAGTGCTAACAAAAGTGTATGGTGATAGGCTTTTGTTAAAAAGTTTATGGTACAGCTTAATCCTTAAATCATAAATTACATTACCCTCTGATGACGACTGCACTTTTATTTATATTTGGGTTTTTGTCCTTGTATTCACTGGTAAAGCAGGTTTAACTAATTAAAAAAATTATGAATCACCCTTATGGCAGAACCAAGTGGTATCCCTAAACATAAAAAAAAAAAAATACATCAGAGCTTTCATGTGAATAGCCACAATATTATGATTTCATTAACATTTTAATCAAATAAAAATGTTATTACATTGTATTTGTAAAGACAACGAAATTTTTCGTTTGGCTAAAAAAATGAGTGATTTTGGTAGTCAAAAGTGTTTTTTGCATTGTGTAATGGTAGATCTACTGTATAGTCAAAGCTGGCATTAGCCCATGAAATTCACACTGATTGTTTTTGTCAATAGGTCTTAGTTTAAAATTTAAGCCTACGTTATTTTTTTTTTTTTTATAGGTCTTAGTTTAAAATTGAAGGTACATACATAAATATGAGTATAAGTGACTCAAAGCTGTTTTGGTACGGGCAGCCTACCTTGGGATTTATTTTAAATATAATCAGATGGTAAATTAAAAAGCATAAAAAAAAATTACATGGTCCACTAGCTGTGATGATTCTTAAAAGTGGACATTGCGACATTATATGAAACAAAAATTTGACAAGGTGGTGAAAAGTTGCCACATTTAGAGGGGTTCGGTTGTAATAAAGTATTGAATAGAGACCGTAACTCATTTGTGAAAATTAATATCTGGAGACAGTAGCAAAAAGAGTGGAATAGTACAACAAAATATGAAATAAAACATTGTTAACCGGGGAAAAAAAGCTGCCTTACACCAATGAGAGTAGGACAGGTTAGACTCAGTCACGGATATTTTATAAACCATGAGCCCCACAAAAATGCACATGTGATGCCCCAGCAACAATAAAACATGCTCATGGAATGTAGGAAATATGAACAGTAAAGTACTAAATATAATCTGACAAATATTGCTGATATTCTTACAGTACCGTTTCTAACCTATGTGAATTCTTAAACAATCCAGACATGACCGAAATATACTCAATTCAATTTTAACATGAAATATATGATCCTGTGACATGAGAGGTAGGGTATGGGTTTGCGTGTCCATTCTAGGGACCGACGGCCTTACAAACATAATATTGAAGCCCTGGACCTATAAGGGATGTGGTGTACATTGGACGTAAAATCAATGCACAAAATGACCTAAGTGATTGAATGCTTTTCTATATTTCTTTAAAAAAGCTGACTTTTGTCTATAGAATTGTAATCTTATAATCCCCGTCCATTCTGATACATCAGTTCTCCTTTTCAACATTTTGCGTACATTAAGAGGCCTGTCATCTTCATTGTATGGGGTGCATAGAAATAAGAGTGAACGTGCTTGGGACTAAACGCCAACTCAGTATGGTTGCTAGCCTTATTAACGATTTTCAACCAGTAATATAATTATCTCAAAATTTTTCAACTCAGTTTTTTTACCATCGTATTATTAGATACATTTGCTATTAAAAAACATGATAAAAGTGATGTAAATCAGTCTAGAAATATCAAAAATATCAGTTTAAAATATTGCCACATTGTACAAAGGGTAAAGCTTTTTGAAGAAAATACTAGTCAAAAAATTATATTTCCGAAATTTTACCATATCTTAATAAAAAGAGCTTGTATCTTACTAGATAAAATTAACACATGCCATTTATGTTATTTTCTACTTGTTTTACACCACGAAAACTCGTTTTCTGAGTGAAACATATCAGTTAGTGGGGAGATGCATAGTGTCGCACAAATTAAGTGAAAATTCCGTGGTATTCGTTTAAACGTGTATTTCGTTATTTGTTACATTTCTATTGCATTTTAAAAGGAATTATTTAAAAAAAAAAGTATGCTTGTAAAAGCAATTTTCAGGTACTTTCTTTTTCGTAAGTAATTATACAAATCTGCTAGTTAAATTTAACGTAACAACCTTTTTTGATTTAAAAAATAAAAAAATAAATAAAAAGGAACTCATAAATACGTTATAAATTATAATAAAAAAAGCTTTCAAGATTTTTTTTAAAAAAACAGCACATGTTTGTACATATATGTTCAGATTTGAGTCTATACAAATCCAAATACAAAAAAAAATTAAGTCCTAGACCACAAAAACTTTACAACTGAGGCCATTTAGCATGAAAAACTTTAAAGCTCAGATTCTCAAAACTATCAATACAATAGATATGACATTTCTTTTTAACAGGGCAGAACTAGCATTTGTTTTTTGTTTTTTCTAAAAATAATGATTGATAAGCATATTTTTCGTATGGAGTTCATTGTTTAACGTATTGTCCATTGTGGGGCAAAACTTTATAGAGCATTAATTAAAATGTAAGACCAATTGATTTTTACATGAAATTAAAAATTTTGAAGAGAAATTATTTAATTAATCGATTCGATTTTTTTTCTAATTCACTTTTTTATGTTTATTCTTACCAACGGCATTTCTTTCTCCCTTAAAATCATGATTTGTAAGGAGAATTTTTATCAAAAGTTTGGTGTATTGATTAGTGACTGATAGTCGATGATTATACAGAAATCATGAGATGCGGTCTGGTGTGATGTAGGTTTCAGAAAAACATTTTCTTTATCATGCCAACGTTTTGATCTTTATTAAGATCCTCTTCAGTGCCTGCGATTTACAAACGTATTTTTTTTTAATTAAAAAAGTTTAAAATATGTGTAGAGATTAGTAACCGTTAATCGATAGTTATTCAGATATCGTGAGATCACCCGACCGCATCTCACGATATCTGAATAAATATTTAAAATACTTTGATTGAATATAAAAAATATTATATTCACTTTTTTCCACATCCTACATGTTTTTGTTAAATTTAAACAATGTTTGTAAATCCCAGGCCCTGAAGATGATTTCAATAAAGATCGAAACGTTGGCACGACAAAGAAAATGTTTTTCTGAAACCTACATCACACCAGACTGCATCTCACGAATTCTGAATAATCAAAAGATTGGGTTGCAAAAGCAACAAATATTGTCAAAATAAATATTGAGGTAATCATGCTAAAGGCAAAATAGTTTATTATGTATGTACATATGCACTTTTTTTTTTTTTTAATTTGCCTACATCATGTTTCTACTAGTGATTGAAATTTGAAGTTTCTTTTTTCCTCAAAATTATGCCTTCATTTTTTTTTTTACATGTAGCATAAATAATACCTGAAAAAAAGTTCCTCTAGTTACTAATGAGTGAAGCATTTTAATAAAATTATATAAATGGTAAAAAAAAACTAAAATTTAGACAGACATAACGGGGCCATATTTTTATATAGTGTAGGCTGATTCTGTATAATTTGTGTTGAAGAGAATGAGTATGAAAAAACAAATGATTGGTATAATAGGCCCATTTGATTGTCATACAACGCCCCAAAACACACTAAGGAAGTAATTAAATATTTGTTGAAAAACAGTGGGTCTTCTTAGACTAAGAAATGTTGTCATTTTTAAGAGAAATATTTCTTTTTATATGAAAGTATGGAATTTTTCCTTTTCGTGGATTTGAGGGGAGTTGAAAAATTCCAAGGGTGCAACAGGAATCAAATGCCCTAAAATAATAAATATTTTTTTATTTATTACAACTAAAACAGAAAATGTAGCTTTGCCATTGATCGACAAAAGGGGAATATTAAATAAACATCCAACATCAATCAAAACCAAATAGCAGCAATGACAGAAACTATTGCGTTTTGTAGATTTACATAAATTTAATTGTTAACCTTTTAATTTTTTTAAATTTTATTTATGTATATTTTTTTATGAGCATCACATATTTCCCTTGTAATGCTTCAAAGCAATGTGCGTCTTTAGGCTCGACTTGCGCTTTGTCCTGTAGAAACAGTAAGGACAGCTGAAGCACGGCTCCTTGCCGCACTCGTAAGTCGTGTGCCTGTTAAGCGAGGAGATGTGTTTGAACGTTTTCTTACAACTTCCGCATGTATGGCAAATTCCTGAAAGGAAAAATATTTCTGAATGAATTCTGCGAACATAGACATTATTTAAGGGGCGAAGAAAATTTCAATAGAAACAAGAATTATGTTGAGCCATATAGGATATAAATTCTGAATTTCATGTTCCGTGTACATTGAAGAATTTGAGAAAATGGCGGTTTATAGCAAAAACAAATTATCAATTACTCACCCTTATACATCTTTCAATGGTAAGCGATTTTTGAAAAAAAAAAAAAAAAATAAATAAAAGTGAATCAAGAGGGCTTGTTTTCTTATTTTATTTTTGTTTGAGTTTTGCTTGCCTCCTCATTTTAGGTTAATTTTGCTAAGAAAACAATCTTCCAACATGGATGCACTTGTGTCCACAAATGCCTGGAAAATACAGAACAAAAGGGTGAATAATTTATAAATTAATGTTTTGCAAAACAACCAGGTAGTTTACAGAACAGGGTTCCCAAAAAATATATCTGGCTTTATTTTGATATAAACGGATACAAAAAACACTTCAACAGGTTACTAAGTACAATTAAATTTTAAAAAGAAAAACCTAATATCTCCTACGTCCTTAGTTTTTCATTCATATGGCGAAGTGCGATATGTGACTTGAGCGTTGACTTCTGCTTAGCTCTGTAAGGACACTGCTGGCACGCAAAGCGCGGTTCCTGTCCGCACTCGTAGACGAGGTGTCTCCTAAGTGAGCTCGCCAGCTTAAACTTCCGGCCACAATTGCCACAAAGGTTATAAAACGCTAGAAATGAATAAATGATTTGTTAGTCGATTAATTCAATCCCAGATAGGGACAATAGGATTAATCGGTCTGAAAACGCAGACCGAGTGTTATTTCAAGTTTGAGCTATTTGGCACTTTATTTTTAAGTTAGAAACGCGCTCTTTTGCTTAGCTCTGTACGGACAGGCTGGACATTCGAAGCTCGGCTCCTTTCCACACTCATACCGCAAATGACACTTCTGAGAACTCGTGTATTTAAATTTTCTACTGCAATTAGCACAGAAATATGGAGCTGAAACATTAGAATATATATATTTTTTAGTGAATCGGCGCAAAATATAAACCAAACCACAGTGAAATCATAATATTTATACAGGTATATCTGGTTTTTCCTAACACATATAAAAAATAATTATTAGATTAAAGTTTTAAACTTTACCAACTTTGATTCAATGGAGTGAGACTTCAACTCGCTCTTTTATTTATTTTTGTACTGACAGGTTGGACATGCCCATGGGCCTGAAATGGTTAATTTTTTGTGGATTAACTTAAACTAAAATAAAACATACATTATTTATTAATTTATTATAACTACCATGGCATAGTATGTAATCAAAAACATTCATAATGCAGGTTTCTTGATAGATAAATAATATAAAAAAATCATATATCACAGGGTTCTGAGTACATAAATTTTAAGGACCTTACTCATAACAAAACGCTATCATTTCTAGAAAAGTTACAACTAGGTCAAATCTATGAAATCAATTAAGATTGATAAGCCCTGTAAATGTGCCATCGCTACTTATTGACCTGCGAAAATACCACAATTGCAGTCTGCCTTCCTTTTAAATTTGTTCCATTTTTAATTATTATTATTTGTAATCCAACTCACATCTTGTTGATTGAGCTGTGTAATTTGCGTAAAAGGAAAAAAATTTAAATGGACTAATTGTCTGTCAATTAATTATTACTTTCCTGTACCTTTACAATTTTATTAATATACTTCTTGTAATTATTTGATTTAAAAACACGACAGAAGTATGTTTTACCTCGATATATTATACATTCCTAATGTTTTTTCCTGCAGTTTAATCATCAGTGCGATTATCGATCACAAAACAATATAAAAGAATCATTATGAACAGGGAAGATCAAACCGTGCACAAAGGTTGGACAATTTACAGCCTCGATATTTTCATTGTATCGAAAAATTCGGCATCTTGGTCGCATTATGCTTTGAGAACATGTGCGTCTTGAGGCTCCCCTTGTAGGTGGCCTTGTACGCGCAAAATTGGCATTTGAACATCGGCTCTTTCCCACACTCGTATTTCTGGTGGCGGGTCATGTTGGATTTGTACTTGAACTTGCGCGGGCAGGTCGGACAAGGGTACTCAATCAGCCTTATACCTGGAAAGAAAAACAATTAATACCTCAACCAGATAAAGGTAAGAAACTGAAGAGCGCTCAACTGGAAAATAACTAATTAAAAAAAAAAGAAGTATAATTCTGAAACCTGCCCTAAACATTTTTGAGATTCTTTCTAAACAGTGCAGTCTGAAACACATTTTGACATCTCACATTGACAATTCTGAATGGAAAGCTGCCTCGTCAAACCCTTTTCATAATTTTTGGTCCACTTATAAATATATGAGAGAATATAATTGTGAAAAATTCTAAATAAAAAAGTGTAATAAAACCAAATGAAAGTTAATGAAAAAAATGATTAAGGGCAATAATTAATAAAACACATTTTTTTTGTCAAAAACTGTATTTTTTAAAATGAATAAAACAAAATTTGAGAAAAAATCTTTCCGGACTCGTCAAGTTAACAATCCTCCAACCTGAAATAATGATTAAAATAAGAAATTACTCTTTTACATATGATATATTGTCTACCTTGATTTTTTTATTTTTACATTTTAGTATTAGGATATTGGGGTTTATGTATGCTTAGATGCCACATGACGAGTGAGATTCGATTTCTGCTTAGCCTTGTAGGTGCAAAGGTGACAGGAGAACGCAGGCTCTTTCCCGCACTCGTACTTCACGTGGCGGTTCATGTTGTACTTTGCTGTAAAACTCTTACCACAGAAAACACAACTGTGTGGCTTCTTTGCATCTGAAAGCGTTGTCAAAGTATTAAACTTTCAATATTTATCCGACGATCGTTAACCATAGTGCGTATCCACTTTAAAAAAAAAATTCTGCACATTAGCATAACTGTAAATCGAGTGTTGTTTCATGAGTAGGAAATGATTTAAAAGCG